CAAAATCAAGTATCTATCATCTGGTGCCTCCATTAGAAACCTGTATAAATCCTCCTTTGTGAAAACTTTAGATTTTTTCGGTGTATGGCCAACGTTTTTTCTTTTCAGAAAGGCAATTAAAGTTGCGTATTTCGAAATGTCAACATTTTCCTTCAGAAATAGTGTCGCCTTCAGCATGGAATACTCAGCCCATAAGCTTCCAGGTGATTTTAACTTCTGATTTCGGTGTACAAAGTATGCCAAAAGCACTTTCTCCGAAACAGCCCAGTTTTTGTCAACGCACCACTTCTTAAAGATTTCAAAGGTTTTTTCGTACCGTTGCCTTGATTTTTCCGGAATCACAGCGTCACAACCAATATTCCAAGCATTTTCCAGTTCACTATCACTATTTTCACTCATATTTCTCCTTAAATTTCAAAAAAGCGTATTTGCAGCTTGCAACCGTATTGTTTGAAAGCGAGTTTTGCGTAACTAACACAAATAAACAATTTGAGAAGCACCATAACAACCATACCAACCATTAGAAACAAGTAGTCCAGCCAACTATAATAATAATAATAATTGTTATAGATAATGTGCGGTGGTGGATAACCATGGAAATAAGAGTTGTGATTTTTGGAAGCGTTGCAAATACAAAAGTTGCCAATTTTTCATTGGGAACGCGCCTTTATAGGAGGAAGACAATTCTATTTTTGAAAATGTCAATTGGATGCCATTCTATAAATTAAGTGTTTGAACTGGAATAGCCCGATCGTGCATAAAACGTAATAAGTATTACAGCATAGTATGCGGTAAAATGAACTACAAAGTGTGAGGTAAAGTGCACTTTACCGCATAGTGTGCGGTAAAGTAGAATTTGATATTTATAATCAAAATTCCTTTCTTTTTCAGAAAATGGATTTTTGATCATTTCTAAATTTAATCTTATTTCATTAATCAATCTGATTCATTAATTAATTTTATGAATGCCTTTTTTTGGAGATGTAGATGCTCATAGGTAAAATTTTGTACCTAACACATGCGGAAAGTGCCTTTACCGCCCTAAACGGCTTGACCGAACTCCGCTTTGCGTCGTTCGGTCAACTGCCGTTGCGTGCGGTAAAGTATCACTTTCCGCATTTGTTAGGTAAATAACTATAACCTAACAGTCAACTGCTTACTACAGTGTTACTACGCACCTTATCAAGTATCCGGCAAAAAAGAAGAAGTAGATGCTCAGAGTGTAATCAGTCATTCTCTGCTACTTTTTCTAGTTACAAGACTTCTCACATCAAGGGAAAGATTGTACAGGGTGATTCATTAAGAATGGCACTCAGCCATATCTCAAAAACTATTTATCATAGTCTTGTCGGAAAAAAATTATTCCATAAATATGGCCAAGAGAAAATGCTGGAAATATATTTCAGCTTTCTAAAATGACCGCAAGGGGGCGCAACCCAACTGTCAAAGTACAAAAATGGTTTTATTTTTGAAATTTCGAATGGAAACGTATCTTAAAAATGCTAGCATTCGATTCTTGAGGAAATTTCACACAATTCTGATCTATAACTTTTTACCATAACTTATCGGATAAGACAGTTATGAGCTGTCAAATATTGCAACTCAAGAAAGCGGATAACTTCAAAACGACTGAACAAATCTGGTCGATCTCAGGTTCGTTGGAATGACAAAAGTCTGCTCTTTAATTTTGTTGTGAAAAATTCAAATTCTGCTTAGTAGGACTGACGCTATGGGTCAATATTTGGAAACAATTGAATGTTTCCAATTTTTCTTAAAAATTTCAAATGGAACGGTATATTCAAGATACATTAAATCGATTTCTGAGGATTTTTTACACATAGTTTGTCTTTATCACCTTCCTACAAACGAATTCCAGAAAGTGTTAAAATTAATTTTATTTAAAATAATCAGTATTCATGAAAAAGCCCTCGTAGATAATGACTTTGTTTTTCTGACAGTTGTCAAATAATAAAAAAAAGTGCGTTCCAAAATTATAAATGTTATTTTGGGTTAATAATTATGGATTTTTTAGCGAGTAACCATTTGTAACGGTGTTATCACGAGCTATAACCGTACGGGTATTACCCTCACTACTGGTGTTCTGTCAAAATTACCCCCACCTAATAAAGTTTGTTATTCTCCTTTTCGCAAAAACCAAAGACTATCCAAAACACGTGACACAAATATGGCCGACAAGAGGCACACAAACATTTGACACAAACACAAACCATAACGTCATTAGGTTATGTCATTAATGATCATAATCAAATACTCATTTTCTATTGTGTGCGTCTCAATTTTTGGCCGTTTCTACCCAATTACTGAATCTCTATTGTTTGGGCAAGATTGCTCTACCTACATTTCACTTGGACACCCAGGACCTACCCTTAAAATGTGAAAATATTTATTTGTTGCAACTCCACCCTCCAGTGTTGTGCTTTGATTTGTATTGTTTTTTCACAAGTTTGCTTTAGATTTGATTGAAGAACGATTTTGCTGAAGGTAAATGCTCTGCATTCATTTCATTGTGAAAATATTGAAATTTTTAACCATGCATTTCCGTTGTCAAGTTAAAATCGAAAAAAAAAGGCCAATATCCTTACTGCCAACTTTGACTAAAATTGTAGAGTGGCTAATTAAGGTGGATAGTGAGCTTCCTTGATAGACATAAATTGCTTTCTCTGTCTCTGTTTCAGCAGTCAAAAAACACTGATGATACCATATTTCATCTCCTGATGGATGAGCTGTATTAGAAGATAAATGACGAAGAAGTGGCTGCGGTAGTTTTTTGTGACCGGAAAAAAGCTTTCGATTGTGTCTGTCATGAAGTACTGCTTCTAGGGGTTCAGTACTTCAGAGGGGTTGGATATCACTGCAGGAGTGACCTAGGGATCTGTTCTATTTCTAACATTAATAAAAATACGAGTAAAAAGAACGAGTATCAAAACACAAATGAACAATGAGCACTATTTTTTTGAAAAAAAAATTCATGACACATTGAATGACACATAAAAAAAGCGTTTGTGTGCTTCTTGGCGGCCATTTTAATTCAAGTTTGACAGCATCTTGGATAGTTCATTGAGGTTATAGATACCTATTAAGCAAACCAAAGACCTGTCCAAAATGGCGCCTAATTGGCACACAATAAACAAAAAACCTATGGCGATGGCGGGATTATCAATACAATAATCAAATTGAAATTGAAAACCATTAAAAATGTACTCTTTGCGTAGGTACCTGAAACAAGAAACCAGTACACATATTTTTTTAACATTAAAAAGTATATTCGCTTTGTCCAAAGGAACACAGACGGTGTAATCCTTCCCTTCATTGTTTAAAGTTACTTCAGTTAAAATTTCAATATTTTCTGCCCTGTTGGTCCCCCGGATCTCCAAGGAATGGATTGGATATTACACGTTCTACCACTGAGCGTTTGTTTCACCTTTTACGTTTAAACTAGCAACCAGAAACCCACGTCCACGTCCCGCAATAATGTTTCCTAATTTTTGGGTTTTACGTTAGAGTAAGGTAAAACCCATTGAGGTAAAACCCAAACGCCCATATTTGAATAAAATCCAACTGTCAAATGTTCTATAACCACCAGTAACCCAGGTCCTGCATAGGTCACTGAATCCAATACCGTGTTATAAATGCGTGACGTCATATTACCGCTGCCCCGCTAAAATTTCAAAGGTTAGAGATTTTCAGTTACCGTTTATAACACGGTTACACGCTTTGTAACGCGCGGTTAATCGCTTAAAAATCCTTATTACCTTGCATGTTTTGCGACTTGAACCTCAATTGGAATAATTCACCAAAAGTTTCTCCATCTTGAAACGAATTACTATGAGCTCTCTAGAGCTTGTAAAATTGTTTTTTTTTTTTAAAGATAATTCCCCGTCAAAAATTTAGTAACTATGTTGGCAACACAAGCCTTTTCTACATGAAAAATTTGATAGCATTGACAATTTTACATTGTATTGCCAACCCAATGTCAGTTTGACTTTTATCTTTAAAAAAAAAAAACGCATTTAGTAGCAAGGTAATTAACCCAAAATAACATTTAATATTTTGGAACGTACCCTATTTATTATTTGACAACTGTCAGCACAACAAAGTCATTATCTACGAGGGCTTTCTCATAAATACTGATTATTTTAAATTAAATTAATTTTAACACTTTCTAGAATTCATTTGTAGGAAGGTAATAAAGACAAAGTACCTATGTGTAAAAAATCGTCAGAAATCGATTTAATGTATCTTAAATATACCGTTCCATTTGAAAATATTAAGAAAAATTGAAAACATTCAATTGTTTTCAAATATCGACCCATAGCGTCAATCCTACTTACCAGAATTTGAATTTTTCACAACAAAATTAAAGAGCAGACATTTGTCTTTCCAACGAACCTGAGATCGACCAGATTTGTTGAGTCGTTTTGAAGTTATCCGCTTTCTTGACTTGCAATATTTGACAGCTCATAACTGTCTTATCCGATAAGTTATGGTAAAAAGTCATAGATCAAAATTGTGTGAAATTTCATCAAAAATCGATTGCTGGCATTTTTAAGATACGTTTCCATTTGAAATTTCAGAAATAAAATCATTTTTGTACTTTGACAGTTGGGTTACGCCCCCTTGCGGTCATTTTAGAAAGCTGAAATATATTTCCAGCATTTTCTCTTGGCCATATTTATGGGATAATTTTTTTCCGACAAGTCTACTATGAATAGTTTTTGAGATATGGCCGAGTGCCATTCTTAATGAATCACCCTGTACACTTGTCCCATAACTCCCATATAAGCTCTTAAATAGTAGTGGGCTCCTAGCAGATCTTCGATCTTCCTGATTTTTCGAGCAGGGTAGCAAGTACAAATGAGCAGACTACTGCTCTCAATTGAAAAAGTTTTAGATATACTTTTTTCAAGACTTTAAATCTGGTATCTTTCTCTAACCATCTGAACAACAACTTAATCAAGGCTTGATGAAAAATAAAATCACAATCCATTAATTCATTTATTCAAATAAACAAAACAAATTAAATAATAAAAAGGCAGCCTTTTTTTTTATACATACAACCACCAAACTCCTCATCATCCAACAAATCACTTATTACATTTTTATTAATTATACTAAAAAATAATAACAAAGAAAAACCAAACCGTTACTGGTCTTTTTTAGTTTCTTCTTCTTTGGCACCGCCATTAACAACAACAGCCTTGCTCTGATCTTCTTGTTCTGCCGAGAACCCAAACTCGTTCCTCCTAGTTTTATCCACAGGATAAATCCACTTTTGATATAAAAATATCAGAAAAACAATATCGTCCCGGAAGCAACCAATTCGATACATCGTAGGCATTTTTATTACAAACGCAAACATATCGTCAATGAAAGTGTTTAGGAATTTGTAAGTTAACATTCTCCAAGGCAAATGGGCTACAGATTTCATTTTGTAATTTATAAATAACTGAGGTGTCATCATTATAAACCCAAATGTTAACAAAAACCCATACAAAATATCTAATACAAACGAATACCAGCCTTTATGTTCTAAATACAACAGAGCGTAAACACAATACCCTGCTAATAAAGGAAAACACAGCCAGGATAAATATTTAAAAGCCAACTCATCATATTGTTTAGTACTAGACTCAACATAAGACCCTTTATCTTTAAAAACGAGCCTCCCATTTTCAAATTTAACATCAACAACCTTCAAAATCTTCCATATTTCAATACCAAGACCGACAAAACAAGAAACCTTAATCAAAAAATTCGTTTCGTGATCCAACACATAGAGCAACACTACAAGACTTTGAAACACGCTAAAAAATACCGAACGCACCGATAAACCTTCTAGAGAATTCCTATTGTTCCAAAATTGAATATCGTTTTTGAAAGCCAGCAATTCAAAAATCGAATGCAAAATCGATACAGCAATCGTAATACCTAACAAATATGGATTAGTGTCCATAAGTGTTTCTTTTATAGTGTCTTGTTCTTCGTCACTTTGTTGCGCTTCATTATCGCTAAACATGCTGAACATGTTGTTTTTCATTGCTTGAGCCGCATAAAGCTGCCACTTGAACAAACTCAAAGGTTGGAATGTTAGTTTTAACGAGTAAGTTTCGTTTAGAGGTTTATAATCTCTGGCCATGTTCCAGTAGTCGTTGGGGTACAAAATGGGGCGGTAGTGGTTGAAATCGTCGGTGAATTTAACGTACTGGTCCAGGGGGGCCGGTACTGATCCGAAAGTCCACAGAGTTTGGTCTGTGATTAGGTTCAAAGTGAAATTTTGATGCCAATGCGAAATTATTTTGCCATCTTCTACTAGAGCTTGATCTGTTTCTCCTGTTAAGAGGTTTTTGGTTTTGCTTGATTTTAGCTTTTTATATCTGAAACGAAGTTTATGAGTGAGTATTTATTATTGAAATTAAGTTTTTTTTTTTACCTATTGAGTTGCTTGAAAGCATAACTCATCTGATTCGGATCGTAATTCTTTGATTTAGGATCAGGACTATTTCCCAACCTAGTGATATACGCATGCAAAAACAATGACCCATTATTCTTCAATCCTTCTGTAATAGGAACTTCTTTTTCAATCTCGTACATTCCATCTTTATTAGGCCCTCCGGTCCAATCACCGTAAACAATATTCTCTTTAATCCAAAACAAATTCGAGTGATGATAGTCTTCTAGAACGTCAGACTCTGATAAGTAAACATATAAAGTTAAGGGAGTGCCGTCTGAAAATATGTTTCGGGCCTGAGTGACTGGCGCCCCTGAGGGGCTGACACTGTTGACAGGTTGTGCGGGTTTTTGTCCTCCTCTGAAAAAGGACGAAATGAAATAAATTATTAAGGCTCGGATTATTAGGGATTTGGATACTGCGAAGAAGGATTCCAGTCTAGTTGGTTGACGCTGTTCTGCTGCAGTAAGGGGTTGCTGAAAAAAAAAAAGAAATAATAAATAGCCGAGATAAAGAAAAAGAAATCTTAGTTGGTTTTATTAAAGCTAAGCTCCAGAACTTAGTAATTCGCGTGGAAGAAGAGCTCCAAAAACTTCTTAATTTCTGAAAATACAAAATAACCAACACCATTTTTTTTTTCTTTCGCAGATTACTATGTTTATTTTAAGTTAAGATAATAATTCATTTTCTTTGAAAATCAAATATATGATAGCCTTGAAATAGTTCATTGTTCAGGTCTGCGGCTGACGTCACAAATAGTAGGGAGTTGTCGCGTGCATATGGCAAACACTATCAGAGCTCAATAAGCAGTCCTATTTGGTTGATTGCACCCTATACCTTGTGTCGCCCTGTATATAATTTTTTTTTTCTTCTGTTTTCGAGATTTTATTAATGGTTGTAAAAATTAACATATCTTTATTTCTAATGGTTTCTAGAGATACAGATTTTAGGGAAAATTTGGCAATATGAAAAGAAACATTTAGGTTCATTGTACTAAGTAACACTAGTTCCCCGATTATACCTATCCTTTATCTTTTTTTATAGGGTAGTAAAGGATGCAAATAGATTTTAGGTAGTGAACTGTGAAATAACGAGTTTTAGGTTCAGTACATTTAACGGATATCTTTGTCTTCGTTTAATTGTTAATGAAAGACAAGGAAGCAACATAGCCCGACGTAATCTGGGACGCTTTCTTACAATGGAATAGGTATAAACACGATAGGACGTCTATTCTTGAAAGCAGGGAACAGTGTGCTCATAAGATCGATTGCTCTATCTTTGTCGGTCTTTTGCAAATACAAATAGAACGGACAAAGACAGGACATCTTATCTCATTTGAACCCGGTTTTGAGAATAAAGACCCAGATGTTACGAGTTTCGATTCGAGAAATCCACATGAGCTGGACAAGTATAGACATATCGATTCACGTCGGACAAAACTAGGGCAATTTAAAAAATATATATATATATCGATATATGTATATCTTCCACTTGGAACAGAAGGAACTATTGTTTTTCCACATGCGTGTGAAAAGTGCACGTATTTTACGACCATGAAAGTACCACTTTTGTACACTAGTGCGGAGAAGTAAAATCGAGAAAAGAATATCTATTCAAGGATTGGTTAGCCTTCTAAAATCCGTGTGAAAAAGTACTTTTTTCGTAGAAAAATGGCGTTCCTAAATCGTGCGGAAAATCTGTCTTCCTCTCTTGATTGCTCGGCCGAACAACTGTCACTTTCCGCACACGAAATATACCACTTTACCACTTCAAATAGGTTTGGATAAACGCCCTTCATTATTACCCTTCACAGTCAACTGTCAAGCTGTCAACCAATGAACTACGAGCACACAAATTGTTCAAAAAAAAATCTGATTATATCGATATTTTGTCGTTATATCGAATAAAATATATCGATATATTCGAGTTTTGTATCGATATTTACAAAACATCGATATATCGTTGCCATCCCTAACAAGATTGAAGGTTTTCTTTTTCTTGGCAGAGTTCGGCTTTGCACTCCACGGAGCGAAACGGTATGAGCATGGATATCGTGACGTCATACGCGGTCATAAGCCCAAGGCAAAAGAGAACACTCTGAGAGCTAAAACGAACAGGATCCATGACGTCACATCAAAACAGCTGATAATTCAAGATGGCGACATGGTCATAACCAGTGAATAGGCAATTTTTAGCGAGGATAACCAAGCATAATCTTTTGCTGCATTATATGATGTGTCATACTCCACTAACTCCCCACCATCAAATTCTGGGATACTCGAGGATCAAAAGCAATAATTTCTTTTGTGAGAACGGACCGAAAATCGAAAATCTCCTTTTCTACATAAAATCGAAGAAAAAATTAACTCACTCGCACAGCCTGAATCGCAAGCATTCCATCGAGGTCTACGGGTGACGTCATCGCTATGATACAGACAATGAACTATAAACTACACGTACCTGGAATGGTCCGCCGATCTATAAATTTGCGGCAGATTGAGATGGAGAGTGTGGGGTACACCCATCTCTATTTATCTTATTGGCGAATCATGGAAATCTTTCCTTGTCTAAAAAATATTTTATTCGAGGTCAGGAATATGCCTAACAGCAATGAACTAGAGAGAGAAAGGAATACCCCACTATGTAGCTTTTTTGGACGCACTAAGCGAGATGACCAATGCCATACAAATGCCATATCCGACAACGGTCGGTGCCATTCCAGATACGTGTAGTACATACAGATGCGAAAGAGCGGCGAATTCGTGGTTCAAGGTTAATTTGGGTGGACATAGGCTGGCCGCACCAATGCCGCATCGATAAATTTTGAACATATCCAATAAATAAATGAGGAAGCTCAATAATATTTCTTAAATTGGTTCACAAACAGCAAAAAAATATTCTTTTTGTAATGCTTTATTTATTAAATACCCGCAAAAATATATAAACACAACAGGCTGAAACACGCTCACGCACTCAGCTACGTTAATTATCCTGATGCGGGCGATCTGTGTCTATGCGTCATGGAGTTGGCCCCCTTGCGGAGCCGCGGTTTCGTAGCAAAATCGTTCGACGGCAAGGATACTTACTTACGCATCTGTATTAGGTGATCTGTGACTATGAGCTGCTGATAGTGACGTCACTCGCAGGCCCAGAATTTGTTGGAGAGTATGACACATCACATAACCCAGCATAATCAGATTATGCTCGATTATCCTCGCGAAAAATTGCCTAACCAAGCTTGACGACCAAGAAGGTGCGTTAATATTCAATTCCAATTGATTGCAATTTGAATAGGAATTGAAGGTAAACGTGCCTTTACGGCTGTCAGGTCGGGGATTCTAAAATCACGATTCGACATACGACTCGACAACGAGACGATTTTTCCGACGATTCTAGGTTAGAAATCTCATTGGAATTATACCTTTCGACACGACAAGGCCGGTATCGTTGTCGAGTCGTGTGTCGAATCGTGATTTTAGAATCTCGGCCCAGGTTTGTTTCTCGTTATTTCCACGGCGCCATATTGAATTGAGAGAACGTCAGATCGCCCCAAGGATAATACACACTACTACGAAAGGATAGCCTATCCTCATAGGGCCTGTGTGGAACAAATCGTCCCTCCCCCCAACCCAAGCCCAAATCACCCCTTGTGACGTACGCAGCATGCCCTTTCTCGCCTGGACGTACAGACGTGAGCATTAAAAGTGGGACACCCGACTGACAGGTCATATCATTTTTCGCTATTTCGTTTTTGTCATCTTTCCCGTCGATTTTGTCCGAAATTTTGACAGGCACGTGACTGGATCAGACAGTTTCAATTTACAAATCACGTGCCTGTCAAAATTTCGGAGCATATCGACGAAAAAGATGACAAAAACGAACTAGGTCTCTTTACAACGGATTTTTTGTCAAATATGACAATCCCTGTCATTGCGGACGGTGTAGCTGATGGCTGATGAGCCCGTTTTACAATAGGAAAAATCGGTTGTCCCATTTTTAATGCTCACGACTGTAGACTGTTTGCACTACAGGTTATGATTCCGCGAGCTTTCGCTATATGCATACTTGCTTTTACTACATTAATTAACATTTTTCATCATAAATTTAAATTCTAAACTACGACCTCTAGTGCAAACAGCTGACGACTTGTTAATGACGTCGAGAATGGTGACACCAATATGGCGGCCATTACCAAAAACGAGGCCGATAAGCAATCCATAGTAGAGTGTATTATCCTTGAAATCGCCCTATCAAGGTTTGTTTGTTTATGTCGCACTGAACTAATATTTTAGATTATGGCAGATAGACCCATATAAAACACTCACAAACGAACGCCCCCACAAACCAGTCATAGCGAATTTCATTGTTTGAAAACAGTCAGAAAACTATTGTAGTTTCAACAACCAATGAAATTCGCTATGGGGGGCTCTATTTGAAAACGATGCAACTATGCGTACACGCAAATGACGTCATTTGCGATTGAAAATTGATGTTCGGCTTATTTGACATGCACTTTTTCAATCGCAAATGACGTCATTTGCGTGTACGCAAAGTTGCATTAATTTCAAATAAAGCCGCTCTGACTGGTTTGTGATTTCTGTGCGAACAGACCTTTTAATTAATGTAATTTTTATTATTATATTGAATCACTATCAGGAAGTGAAGAACTGGACAATGCAAAATAATCCCAATATTTTTGAATCCACAGAGTGAAATAAGGCTAAGATTCCTAACAAATAGGTTGTCTGGTAGTTAATAGGAAACAGATGACGTCATAAAAGATATCAGGTAATTTACCTCTTTCAAAAAACCTTGAAATAGGGCAATCCAACGACGCCAACGACCTATCAAAACATGGCGGAAAAAGTCAAATATCTGTGATGTGTGTTTGTTTTTTATTTATGAGGTTTATACACTACGAAAATACAAAAATTATCCTTCTCAACCACAAATTACACAGAACAGTTTTATGATAACAAAACGTCACAGTTCTCCGAAGATGAATGGTTTCTTAACTGTCAACGTATGACGTCATTGTGACACTGTTTTAAACTAAACTAGTTTTCAAAAATGTTTCAACTTTTAAGACACCAGAAAACACCTTAAAAATTGAATTAGAAGATCTACTAAGCTTACGCTTCGTAGTACAATGTTTTGGAATGATTTACTTATGATAAATTTGGCATCGGACTCTGACGTCACAAGCCCGCGTTTTCGCAGCAGTTTAAAAATTCAATTTTCAGAACATTTCATTTACAGAAATAGGCGTTTTCTTTTGGAAAAAAGTATACAGATGACTCATTAGAATGACTCACAATTATTCAAATATATTTTACAAAAAATTAAAAAACTGCATGCCTCACAAATCACAGTACCACATAGAACCTACATAAAAATTTATTTTGTAGGTTATGTAATTGAAAACATAAATAATTATCAAAAAAAAACACTCTATAGAATCTAAATTACTAAATTAGGAGCGCACATTTATCAATTAAACAATTTAAAAAAATGTAAAATTGAAACAGAAATAGTAACATCGATTTTTCTTACATTTTGAGATCCGTTTTCTGAAGTTGCCACTTGATTGTCAGCCCCTGCGGGAGCACCGGGATTCTCGTCGGCCATTCGGGAAGCAATATTCACTGAATCATATACAATAATTATTTATATCTATTAAGAATTTTGAAAAAACTGGAATAAGATAAACTTTTTTATATTTTGTACTTCGCCATTGACGTGACGTTGGAGTAAAATTGCTGACAAGTATGACAGATAAATCATGTGATTGGTGTTTTAGGTGTTTTCAAACCGCGTGCAGCGTGCACTTGGAGCAAAAATAGCTGACTCCATTTTGCCAAATTAAAAAACGTTTTCTCATAAAAATTACAATTTACTCAACTAAAATTTACACAATTGATTTAAGTTTTCTTCACCGCTATCACCGCAGTGTAGAGTCCAAAAAAATATCCAGTTGTAACCATAACAGCGGTAGTTTTAGCCAAAATATTATCCTTGACGCCTCCTTTGATGTGAACAGGAATGTCGTTAGCTTCCAGGAACAAATTTTTTCTGGCTTGTAGTTTTTCCAGAATCCCAGGGCGCGCTGGAGCCATGGCGTAGGAGCGCGTCAAACAACCACGACCGACCTAAAATAATATTTCAAATAAACTATTCTAACAATAAAAAAAAAAGTTTACCTTAATAATAATTGTTGAAGCTCTCATATTGATTCTCTATCGATTAAATGAGTCAAATGTAATTATATTGCATTTGAGTTGAGGCTATTTTTAGGACAAAACTTGTTGCCAAAAATTCTTTAGCTTTTTAATGTCACGATTAATTTAAAATGCATTATTAATTGGTAATTTATCGGAAATAGTTGAAAAACGCACACAAAACGATGAACAAATCGTATAAATATGTTATTATCATGTCAGAATCTTGATTACCTTTTATAATGATGAAATTATAAACACGGAAGAATCAAGAAAATTACTATTTTTGCTATTTTTTTTTTTTATGTATTAAGTTAAGTATGATCCGACATTGTTTTTACTTAAATAATGAATTGCTTGGTTATTATTTGAAAAACCTTCTCTTTGAAGAGAACAATGTTGCGCTCATTGTTATTTATTCTAATTTGTTCAAAAGTTAACAGTTTTCAAAATTTATATTGTCAATTGCCTTGTGATAATTTTGTTGAAAATGTGCCCCATACCGTTTGCGATCGATCAGATGTGGTATGTAAATTTGTACCAACGTCGCAATACCAAAAAAGTTGAATTTTTTCCATAGAAATGTGGTCCAGATCTGTCCTGCGGTCCAGATTTTATGGTCATAGACTTAACAGACGATGACAGACAATACATTTTGGATATTCATAATTATTTAAGGAACAAAGTGGCAACGGGGCACGAGAAAAGGGGGCCGCAACCAGAAGCTTCAAATATGCAAACTATGGTAAAGCTATATTGATTTTCAAGTTTCAAGTACCTAAATTAAATTATTTTAGAGCTACAATAAAGAATTGGAGTTTATTGCTCAATGTTGGGCGAATGCGTGCAACGGGAATCCCCTAAAACACGACAGATGTCGTAAAACAGGTGAATTTTTCAATAAATTGTACGATATTTAAGGTATAGTTTTCAAGTGATTACCAGTTAAGTAATCTTGACTGTTTGATTGATTGACAAATGACGTTTAATTCATTGGTTATCTGTTAACTGTATTCTATGGCCAACTGTGACCGACCTGTCAAACGCTTCGCAAAGATAATACACACTACTACACAGGTTGCCCGTTTATATGGTATAGTGGTTTATGGGAATCGTGGCCATATTCTGTAGCACCATTGACGGCGTCATCAACTACGTCGTCGGCTATTTCCGCCAGCGGTCGGACGTAGTTTAGAATATACATTTATGATGAAAAATATTATTTAATTCTGATTAACATAATAGGCAAAGAGGAAGATGAAGACGAGATCTAAAAAAGAGTTGTTTGAGAATGTTGATTAATGTAGTAAAACCAAGTAAGTATACATAAGCAAAAGCCCGCAGAATCATAACATGTGGTGCAAACACACGTCATGTCGAGAAACAACACGCTGCCTACGTCATCACTGGTTTTTTGGGAAAATTAAATTAAGTAGAATAAGGTCAATAAGTCAATAGTCTTGAATACATTCAAAATTTTCGATAGAGATTTTACGAATAAATAAAAATCTTTGCTCTCAACAGAGCCAAAAATAATTATTACTTCATTACGCAATCATTATTGTACATTTCTAGAATCCCATGCTCATGTAGGCCAAAACTTGGGCTACATCAACAGCACCAATCCGAAAATCAACAAAATCAAAGCAATCAAAGATCTCATTTTGTTATGGTACGACGAAGTGGCCCTATTCGACAGATTTTGGTTGAACGACACACAAAACAGGTACCCCCAATACAAAACAAACTACTTAAGTATAGGTCACAGAAATCACAAACCATCAGTCTGATTGGTGCAAATCGCCAACAACCATCAGTTTTCTGACTATATTCAACCAATGAACAGAGAATTGACTTCTGTAAGATATCTTATTTATGAATCATTTTTAGAGGTCCAAAGTACGTGGTGGGTCATTACACGCAATTGGTTTGGGCCGAAACCAACGAGATCGGATGCGCGATGAGCTACTACGCAGAAACGGTGCAAAACGAGATTTGGCATCAGGTTATTTTGGTTTGCAATTACGGACCTGGCGGGAATTATTTGGGACAACCTGTTTATCAGACTGGTAAGAATAGGTGGAATTCATTTTGTTTCAAATATCAGCCACGGATGAGTTTATACCAAATCTAAGGTAACTCATCTGATGTGAGAATAGATTTTTTTCCTGCCAAGAAAAGTCGCAAAATCAACCAATCACAGTAAAGCATTCCATAGATTTGCCCTCTTAAGGTCTGTTCTCACAATTCGAGAGTCTCGGATAGTTTGTAAACTGTCAGAGAGTCTTGCGAGAACAGACTTTGAATAAACTCAAGAGACACTAGAGCCGTTTTCTCGCGTCCACTTTTTTCAAAACAGGTTTGAAACGGGCTATGGTATATAACACCGTTGCCCGTTTCAAAACTGTTTTGAACCAATGTCAAAAAAGTGGACACGAGAAAACGGCTTAGGCCTTTACGAAAACGATCACAGGTTGTTTGTGTTTCATCTTTCTTCAATTCACACAATTGAAAAAAGAAAATTACGTCAGCTAGTGATCGGGTTGATCAGATCAGGCCTACTCATTTCAATTCTCTGCATTAAGAGTCTCAATAACAAGTTGAAAATACCACTTAACTGTCTGTTTTTTTTTTCTTTTAGGAAAACCTGCTTCGAAATGTTCATCGAACTTATCAAGAAACCAACTTTACAAAGGGCTTTGCGGTCAAGCGATTCCTGCGTCGGACGTGGCCAATTTTACTTTTGATGTGTTTCGGCCGGAATAAAAATTGTTATTGTAATATTTTCTGCGGAACGATGCACCTGAATTCGATCCTATCATGTGATTTGGGTCGTATATAAATTATTCAAACAATAATTTGAAGTAGAATATAGACAAACTACCTAAGCTTCACAGTGAACTACTATAAAAAGTTAATTTCAAATTTAAATTAAATCTTTTTTATTTATAATAAAAATGTTTGAGTAAGTACCTCTTTACAATTAATATTGCACAAAATTGTGAAAAAATCTTGTTGCATCACGTCAGAAAAGTTAATTAAATGTTTTTTTTTTTAAAAATCACGATCAAGTGTAATTATAAGATATGAAATAACACACGCAAACAAATCATAATAAGACATGCGATATGTTTTATATAAATTAAAAAAAAAAACTGCATTTGAGTAATGATTGTTTAACCGTTTTTAATGGGTGTTTGGCATTGAGACTTCATGTTTTCATTATCGAGAATTTCGATTTTTTACGATTAATATAAAGAGAATGTGTTGAAGGATGTTCTTGATGTTTGGTAATATTTGTTCATTTCATCGAATCAAAAGTGGTGAAAATTGAAACTTTTTACAACTAAAAAAAAATATTAAACTGCATACATACATATATTACATACTAGTTGTTAAAATACAATAAACTTTATAATCATTTTGTTTGTTGTTATTGAGGAAATATACCTAAATTAAAAACCGAACATTGTCACGAGACAACATTATTAATGAATAAAGATAATTGAAAATCAGAAAAATTGAGATAAGAATTTATTATTGTAATGTGAACGAATCTCAGAAAGTAAAGTGCTTTTTATTGTTTACAAAGTGCGGAATTTAAAACCTTTTTCTCAGGTATTTAATTTCACTTTCTCATCTATTAATATTCCAAGGACTCAATCAGAATCCGGCTGTTGGATAAATCAAGAACCGGTAATAATCCAAATTTTGATTGTAATAGTCCTACAGCATTATTCAATCCCTATAGTAGGCGCATTATTGAATATAATGGCACTCTGATTGGTGCGAAAACCGGCCTACTATAGGATTAATGTGTTCGTTGGTACTGGCATTGAACGCAATAATTTTAATTATACGTTTGTCTAATAAAGGTAAAAACTTCTCGCGTTTCTTTCGCTAAATAGTTTCCTGTAATTTTATCATCTGATGGCTTGTTGTGTGTGGGTGTGTAGAAAAATATCGTTCGCTAATTTGTTATATGAATTAGTCCATCTTTATTTGCTTTGTGAAAAGATTATAAGTGAGATTATTTCTGTTGAATTTGTGTGCCTACCTAAATAAGAAATCTTTGCTCTGGTAGGTCAAAATTCAGAAAGTCCATAATTAAAACGTTGCTTATAAATGGCGGTAAAATCGATTCGTTTAAAGATTTATCGATATCTTGAAAATATCGTATCAGAAAGTAAATTATTGAAAATTTGCATGGATATAAAAAGAAAAAACGAAACTTCAAAAATCAAATCAAACTGTTGTGGCTGGGTTCATTTATTACATCTGCGAGCAAAAAGAGCAAATTTTGACGGAAGTCAGGTGACCACTTATCTTTTTTCACGTGTCAAATCACGTGAAATTTGTCAAATTTTGCTTATTTTGCTCGCAGATGTAATAAACGAACCCAGCCATGAGGTGTTTTCTCGCGTCTCAAAATTTTGAAACATTTTTCAAAACTGGTTTAAAACAGTTCCACAATGACGTCATAATTTCTCGGCGCGAGAAAATGGTTTAAAAACATGAAATGGATTGTATTTCAGAACGGTTTGAATCAATTTTGTGTAACGTCATAGGTTCATCACGGGAATATACATACCTAGACGTCTTTTTCTGACGGAATGTTTTAAAACGTTCTAAAAGGCCACATTTTGGTGCTGCAACGGTTACGACATATACGGAAACGGTTCAACCAGTTTCGAACCGCTCTTTCAACCTGTTTCAAAATAGGCATTATACAGCTGACTTCAAAATACCATTGGTATATTAAGATCTGTTCGCAGAGAAATCACAAATCAGTCAGAGTGAATCTCATTGGTTGAAACTAGTTTTCTGACTGTTTCTGATTGTTTTCAACCAATGAAATTCGCTCTGACTGGTTTGTGATTGCTGTGCGAACAGGCCTATGTAGTACATAAAACAATAATTTTAGAGATAGCCGTTTGAAACGGGGTATGTTTGATCAACACCGATATGATGACGTAGCAATCGAACCAGTTTTGAAACGTTTTAAAAACACAGTTCAACAGAAAAAGACGTCTCTACTATTTCAAACCTATTATTATGAACCTATTATTAACACGAGAAAACACGAAAATAGCTCGTGCCAAAATCAATTTATAACCGAATTTTTGCGACGAACTAGTTTCATGATTTCATGAACACAGACGCTTTCGTGAGAAACTCGTGACGTCATATTAAGCGTAGTTCGCCGGATGCATGGACGCAGCTTCCAGCCAGCGTTCAAACTTATGACGTCACAAGACGAACTATATGGTTCGTCCTTGGAATGGATGAACTACATTCATCGCAAAAATTCGGTCTTTATTATTTTAACAAGGGTAATTGCATCTGCGAGCAAAAAGAGCAAATTTTGACGGATGTCACGTAATCGCTTATCTTTTTCCACATGTCAAATCACGTGACATCTGTCAAATTTTGCTCGCAGATGCAATTACCGAACCCAGCCAAACTTTGGTATTTTAAGATTTTCTCATGTTACCATTTTTCATCAAATGAATTTGAAATTTTCATTATGATGGGATCTTTTTTTTCCTCTCTTTTACTCCAATGGTTTCAAAGTTTTTCCATCAACAATTTTTCGAAAAGTCATTAAAAACATTTAAGCCCAGTTGTACAATCTCGGTTCAAAACAAAGTTCAACTGAACTCGACTGGTACTTAAGGTTTCCCATTTAAAATACCATCGTCACCAAAAGTAACTGGGACTGCATCACATTAGCTCTTGTCCTATTATGTGAATTTTATTGTCAAATATTTGTCAAACTATGCATTAAATGCATTGAAATGAATGACAGTAGAATTAGTCCAGGAGATTATTATGCATTATTTGTGTCCCAGTTACTTTTGGTGACGATGGTACATTACTGTCAGCTATTAATCAAATTCTGTCAATTTTGACAGCAATGCATTTCAAATAGGGAAGTTCAAGTACCAGTCGAGTTTAGTTTAGCTAAACTCTGTTTTGAACCAAGATTGTACAACTGGGCCTTAAAGGTGTACTTTTCTTAATTTGGTGTTAAACCTGCTTATTAAGATTTTGTCATGTTAGTGGAAAATGTTCCACCAAATTAATTTGAAATTTCAGTATGATGAGCTCCTACTCTGCCTCTTTTCACTCAAGTTTCAGAACAGTCAAATTTAACATGTCAAATCAAGTTGATTATGGATGACGCCTTATAGTAAGTCCGTTTCTGCAGAAATCACAAACCAGTCAGAGCGAATTTTATTGGTTGAAAACAGTCAGAAACAGTCAGAAAACTAGTTTCAAACAATAGGCTTGTTTCTGCAGAAATCACAAACTAGTCAGAGCGAATTTCATTGGTTGAAAACAGTCAGAAAACTAGTGACTTCTGCAGAAACAGACCTCATAAAATTCACTCTGACTGGTTTGTGATTTCTGCAGAAACAGACCTATAATAAACGCGTATCAATACAGATATCGATACCTGAATTTGAAATATCGATACAATTGAAGGCGTATCGATATTCTGAAAAAATCGTATCGAAAATAAAAATATCGAAAGAAGAAACTCTAGTTGACAGACAAACAATGCTTTAAACGTCACCTGTCAAAGGTGCGAGTGCCACGTCAACTTGGCAACAGCGCTGCAGTTTATACGGGGTCGTCGTTATGTAGGTCTAATATTTTAAAACGCACCTAAGAAAAATGTTCAACACTTGCAGTCTTTGGGAATCCCCGGTTCAATGATGGTATTTGCAATGTTGTCAGGTTTACCGTTTCTAAGATGCCGTAAGTAAAGTCTGTTTTTTTTTAAAGATAATTCCCCAAGTCAAAAATTTAGTAACTATGTTGGCAACGCAAGCCTTTTCTACATAAAAAATTTGAAAGCATTGACAATTTTATATTGTATTGCCAACATAATGTCATTAATGTCATTTTGACGTTTTTCGTTAAAAAAAAAACTTTTAACTTAATTTTTTAAATGAAAGTCCCTCTCTACTTCTGTTGTAATCAATTCCGCATCCCAACATTATTAACCTCTAAATGCCAAACCTCCATTCGACTTGGTTTTTGGAATATGGCAACACAGTTTTTTTGTTGAAATGTATGGGAAATGGGAACCAATGGAAACGGTGTATTTCAGAATACATTTCAACAAGAAAGCTGAGTTGCCATATTTCCAAAAACCAAGTCAAATGGAGGGCTTTTGTGAATTTTAGTAATAAAGGACTTTCATTTTAAAAAAAATAAGTTACCTACGGCATCTTAGAAACGGTAAACTTGGCAACATTGCAAATACCATCATTGAATCGGGCATTCCTAAAAACGCGTATAGCTCCCCGAGAGAAAAAAAATTTTCGTCTTCATCATTCTCGTTTACTTTTCGATTACGTTGACAAGAACAAAACATTCGTTCTATCGGGATGCTCTACTCCCTGGAACCAGAATCGGATCCGGAAATAATAAAGCCTGTTTTTTTTTTTAAAGATAAAAGTCAAAATGACATTATGTTGGCAATACAATGTAAAATTGTCAATGATTTCAAATTTTTTATATAGAAAAGGCTTGCGTTGCCAACATAGTTACTAAGTTTTTGACTTTGGGAATTATCTTTAAAAAAAAAACAGACTTTAGCTCTGTTCCAACCGACATGAGAACCGTTCTAGAACGTTAATTTCCACTCAATCAATTCATTTGTCAAGTAGGGATAAACGTTCAACTTATTGAAATATAGGTGGGCAAACTGGAAAATACTGGTTCTGGAGCGGTTCTCATGTCGTTTGGAACAGAGTTGTACATTTTTCTCAAATATTCCTATACATAACGACAACCCTGTATAAAAATATCCTCCATTTACCATTTCAAGACAAAAGTAAATAGCGCACAATTCGCAGTACTTAATTAAGATTGATTTGATAAATTATTACTAATTATTTTCAATGTCAGATCTCAAATCGATTTGAGCGCAGAAGAAAACGAAGAGACTTCTAAACACTTTCTCGTGAAAATGGATTTCGACGAAGTTCTAGAAGAACTTGGCGAATTGGGCCGCTACCAGATTATCATGTACCTTCTGGTATGTTTTCCTGTTCTTTTTGCGGCCGCCAACAGTTTGAGTTACGTTTTCACTGCTGGAGTCATCGATTACAGGTAAAAAAATACTAATAACGATTTTTAGTTTGAATTCAAATACTGTTTCTATCTCTATTCAACTCATTTAATTAAAAGAAGATAGTTACTTTTTTTGCAGTGTTGCCATTTTAATTCTTTTTCCTAGATGTTTTATTCCCGAATGCGAAAGTCCTGAAGACAATTATAACGTTTCGTGGATAAATTGGGCGATTCCAAAAGACAGAGACAATGACCAAGTGATTGGATTCAAATCGGATATTTGCTACAAATATGCGATAAATCGTACAGCTTGGGCTGCAAACAATGAAACTTGCCAGGAGCAGTTTTTCGATAAAACTCGTCTGGTAAAATGTACGGAATGGATTTTCAGTGAGGCTGAAAGTACTATTGTAAATGAGGTGAAATTGATTTGTTGGTTAGTGAGTTGGTTTACATTTTATCGGTTGATTCTAGTGGAATTTGACTTGTATAGAAAACCAATGGAAAATCTCGTTAATAGGCAGTAGCCATTTTGGCGGGATCATTGCTGGCTCGTTAATTTTTGGAATTTTAGCCGACAGATTTGGGCGAAAAATCATTTTTATATTTTGCATTTTACTTATGACAATTTCCGGAGTAATACAGGCTTTTTCTCCAGAATATGTTACGTTTGTAATACTCACTTTCGTCAATGCTTTGGGTACTGCTGGAGTGTATCCTTTGGCTTTTATTTTAGGTGAAAACGAATAAAATAACTGTTATTGTGTTTATTCAAAATATTGGATCTTCTAGGAGTAGAAATGGTGGGCAAAAACAAACGAGAAATCACTGGGATTGTGCTGAATTATTTTTATGCCGTAGGAGAGGCACTTGTTGCACTTTTCGCTTGGATAGCGCCAGACTGGCAAGAATTACAATTAATTGTATCAGCGCCTTCAATCATTTTCATTGCGTATTATTGGTAAGAATCTTAATCAAATTGTTCACCCCCTTAATCAAGAAAATTGTGAAATCTTCGGTCGAACAAATATTAATTATATTTCTTAGAAATAGTGGAAGTTGAATTTAGGTCAACTTATCGATATCACGCGGATTCATTACCTATTAGATTCATATCAATTGAAACAAGATTCCTACTATAAATCAGTTAAACATTGGTGTGCTTTATAATTGTTTTCAGGATGATTCCAGAATCCGTAAGATGGTTAATGGCAAATTCAGAAAATCAAAAAGCCAAATCCATAGTGCTAAAGGCCGCGAAAGTTAACAGAGTTGAATTGTCCGAAAGCCTCATGAGTACTTTTGAAACTGGCTCAATAAACGATGCAGGTATAAACAGTTTTGTTTGAATTTTCAAATTATTTTGTGCTATTTTCAGGATTCGAAAACTTCCAACAGCAAAATGTTGCCCATAGTGAAAGTGATGCTAAAATCAAAAACCTTAATAGTAAGATTTTCAATAATGTACTTTATATGGTAATTAAAACTAATCAAAAACACGAGGTAATACATATAAGTTTTTTAGGGGTGTAAACGCATTCGTTTACTACGGCCTATCGATAAATGCCACGTCACTGAGCGGCAACAAGTACATCAATTTTGCCTTGGTTAGCCTTATCGAAATACCTGGATACACTATCGCTTGGATTTGCATCCAGAAATTAGGCAGAAAGCCTTCATTGATAATGTCCTTGTTATTGTGTGGCATCACTTGTACTCTAACGATTTTTGTTTCGAAAGGTAATTTTATACATAGTAGGATTTTTTTGTGAAGTGACGCCATCTATGTTCTAACTAAAGAATGCCGTGGTCGAGTAATATTTATACCTAACGTTTCGTCTACTGCAGCGGTAGACATCTTCAGAGGCGGTGTGGTAGAGTAGAGGACGAAGTGTTCTCTTCCGTGTTCCTCGGATGACTGGATTCGACGTTGTTGGACCTGCGGTATTTATATCCAGGGTTGTGGGCGTGGCTTGTATTATGCAATTTTCCTTGTCTCGTGCTCGGGAAGGAAGGGTATTTGTTTTCCGGAGAAATGGCAACCAGCTTTTGTTACAGGTTCATGCAACGACGTAGCTATAGCTTTTACATGTGTGGTTCAACCCCCCCCCCTTATATACGTCTTTGGGTTCATGCCCTCTTCTTTTCTGTTAAAGTTGTTGTGGTGCTTTTGTATCTATATGGCTTCTCTGTGGAGTCTAGTGTAAAAATGTTTGGTTCTATCCAATGCTCGAATCTGGTCGAAACGGGTGACTGACAGTTTCTTTTGTGCTCTTCGACCCTGGTGTTGATGAAGCGTTTGGTTGTTCTTACATATACAGATCCACAAGAGCAGGAAATTCTATAGACGCCAGCCGTTTCAAGAGGTGCCGAATTGTTTTTGTGAGCTTGTAGATGGGTTTAAAGTTGTGTTTTTCTAGCGTTCGTCCTCATGCGATCTGTGACATTTTTGATGTAGGAAAGAAAGGCTCTCCCTGCTACCTGTGTTGGTTTCTAATTATGTATTTGTGCGCTGTTGATTCGGTCTCATTGCTCTGTTTATCGTCTGCTTGGAGTACCCATTTCCTTCAAGTGCTGATTTTTAGGTCTTGCATCTCGCCCTGAAGGTATCTGGGTTCACAAATCCAGATTGCCCTGTCAGATAAAGTTTTAATGAGTTGTAATGACGCGGAAATAAACCACCAAGAAAACAATTAAATGTTCTGATTATTCTAAAGACCTAGGATCTAACTACCGAAAATTAATCAAGAATAACAAGGACTTACCAAACAACCATCCCAGGAGAGATCATCACTTAGACAGCACAACCAGAAACTTTAATTAAAAATTATCTGAACATCGATATCCAGAAATTATTGAAAGCCGATACCCTATATACACTAATACATCGGAATGTGAATAAAGCAAAAGTTCATGGATCTGCTTTCAACAATTAACATTCCAAAGAAGCCGACAAATTTCTAAAAGGATCAATAAATCATGCACGAGCCTATATGATGATATCCACTTAACAAACCACTTAGCGACGCCCTTGATAATTAATTGAAAGGGGACCAAATGTACTAATTGATCGGATGATTCAACCACGAAAAATCGAGGTCAGAAAAAATGAAGAAATTCAAGACAATGGAGGGACCAATGATATAAAAAGGCAACTTTGGCAGGAGAAAATCAGTGTTCGAGAAAAGAGTGTTCGAGAAAGAGCGAGTAAAGGTCGATTCACACATAGCAGTGATATGACAGTGCCGTAATCGGCACGTGATTTTACCGGCGAAGTCAAAATTATTATCGTAGGAATTTGATGGTATCTATTCCCATCAGCCCGACGCGCGACCGTGACAGTGCAAACAGTGCTGTCGCCGGCACCGTAACGTGATCGTTATATTAGTTCCTGACGATATTTTTGGATTTTCATTATTACGTTCTGTATGACCTGTGCAACTCAAAACACATGGACTCTGAATCCTAAAATGCTAGGTGGAGGGTGTCATGCTTTTTCAAATGAACTTCTATCTGGCACAACAATAGGTTGAACGAAAACATCCTAAATAAATACGTATTCAAAAAATTTTGCTGCATCTGCATCGTCTAATAGTTCCTCGTATAATGTTATAAATTCCCCTTCAATACCTCTCTTTTTCCATTTAGGATGGATCCAGTGTCGTTTTTCTACCTTTCCTTCTACTTGCTCTTCCATGTCTTCATCCAAAACCAGTGCGATCTGCAAAAATTCTTCACCTGAAAATATTTCCATTTGGCTATAAACTATAATGACACGGCACTGATGAAACACTGACCGATATGAATAGACATCACTGCGAGTTTACGGCCGGTGAAATCACGTACCGGTCACGGCACTGTCATATCACTGCTATGTGTGAATCGACCTTAAACCGGCAGAACTACGGCGTGAAGAACCAGTGTCGGTTGAGTAATCAAGAAACAAGTAGTAATCGAGAATCGAGAGACCTGTGTTCAGAAAGTCAGAACTACGGCGTGAAAGAGTTGTCGAATTAACCGAGAGAAGAATCACGACGTGAAATAACGCGAAAATATTCGAGTTTTTTATTAAGTGTTCATAGTAAATTCCTTCGGCCAATAAGATTTCCATGTAATTGCCAGCAGTACATATATTATTGTTAAATGTAAGTAGAGTTTTTTCATGTTCAACCAGAAATTGTGAAGACAAAAATGTGAATCGAGTCAAACTGTAAATAAACATTTTTACTTAGAAACGTATAAATTTTCTTTAAAAATTAATTGATGCTTATTAGAAATCTAATAATTTTATTGTAAGATTATTTATTACCGACGCCTGTTATTTAATAACAAGCATTATTTATTTTAATAAAATAAACTTTATTTTAATTGACCACAATATTTCTGTGTTTTACTCTCCACCCGCATTTTAAACTGTGTCTCCACTCAGAAACTAAAGTCACCGCTCGCCAATTTAACATCTTGCCAAGTTTATGAATTTGGGGTCTCACAAATGGTGTCAGAGGTGTGGGGGTGTTTTCAATTTTCTGATTCCTAATATGGTGGAAGTTTCGATTCACACTCCTTGCCTTCACAATTTCTGGCTGAACATAAAAAAACGCTACTTACATTTAACAATAATATATTTACTGCTAGCCACACCTAATTACATGGAAATCTTATTGGTCGAAGGAATTTACTTGAATTATGAACACTTAATAAAAAACTCGAATATTTTCGCGCTGTTATTTCTTCTCTCGGTTGATTCGACAACTCTTTCACGCCGTAGTTCTGACTTTCTGGACACAGGTCTCTCGATTCTCGATTACTACTTGTTTCTTGATTACTCAACCGACACTGGTCCTTCACGCAGTATTCTGCCGGTTTAAGCCCGGGACACATCTATCATACATTCTTCCGATCCGACTCCGATCATACAATCAGGATCCTTAAGCCAGGGACACATCTATCATGCATTCTTCCGATCCGACTCCGATCATACAATCAAGGTCCTTATTCTTGGAACCGGGGAGCAGCGGAACACTCGTTCTCCTGGGAACGCTGCTTCCTGTTGTCCAAGAATAAGGACCCTCATTGTATGATCGGAGTCGGATCGGAAGAATGCATGAAAGATGTGTCCCTGGCTTTACTCGGTCTTTCTCGAACACTCTTTTCTCGAAAACTAATTTTCTCCTGCCAAAGTTGTCTTTTTATATAATTGGTCCCTCCATTGTCTAGAATTTCTTTATTTTTTCGGACCTCGATTTTTCGTTGTTGAATCATCCGATCAATTAGTGTATTTGGTCCCCTTTTAATTGATTATCAGGGGCGTCGCTAAGTGATTTGTTAAGTGGGTATCATCATATAGGCTCGTGCATGATTTATTGATCCTTTTAGAAATTTTTCGGCTCCTTTGGAATGTTAATTGTTGAAAGCACTTAAAAAAAGGTCCATGAACTTTTGCTTTATTCACATTCCAATGGATTAGTCAATATACGGTATCGGCTTTCAATAATTTCTGGATATCGATGTTCAGATAAATTTTAATTGAAGTTTCCGGTTGTGCTGTCTAAATTATGATTTCTCCTGGGATGGTTGTTTGGTAAGTCCTTTTTATTCTTGATTAAAATTTCTGTAGTCACTACAGACTCCTCTCTTTTGCCTAGGATGGTGATTGGATTCCTTTTTGAGGTATCTGTCCATATGCGTCGGTTTCCTATATACTCTGGGTCCCAGTTTACCTGAGGGTAATCTTTCTAAGAGGACGTCGAGGAATGCAATTTTATTTCCTTCTCAACTTCCATCGTAAACTCTATCCTGATGGGTTCTATTGAGTCTCGATGATTGAGGAAGTTTTCGAGCTCTGTCTGTCCATGGTTCCAAAAACATCTTTCAGATACTCTCTAAGGCCTGATCCACTGGTGCCTTGGTAAACAACGAGACGATATCAAAACTGAACAGAATGTCGTTTGGTAGTCGAGTGATGTCACTGATCTTTTTGATAAAATCAGTGGCGTCTTTAACATAAAGAGCTTGGCCAATCCGTGGCTGAAGGAGAGTGGCGAGGTATTTGGCTATGCTCTATATGTGGGCGAATCTATTGCATTTAGAATGGGTCTGAGTTAGGGTTGCCAGATACTTGAGTTTTGAAAATAGGAGAGGCTGTATAAAATTATATGAGATTGGATAATAATGTATGAGAATATTTTATATACCTACTGCAAAATACCCAAATCCGAATAAAGCTCACATCTTGACAATTATTAGCTATGATTTTTAGCAGATTTTGGAATGTATTCCTGGACATTCTTTCAGGTTGTTGAATACTCCTCCTGATCCGTCAGCCTCATTTCTTGTAACAAGTTGTGGGCAACAACTTTAGTTTTTTAATGTTTGAACAAATCCCTAACCCAAAATTGTTTTGTTTTTTTGAATAACAGATGCATGAGACTCCGGCCTATCAAGTGTATGGCAGTGATATACATGTTTTTTTTTTATGAAAATATTTGAGAAATAGTCTCATATTAAGCATGATAATATGAGATATGAGAATAGGAGGTCTGGCAACCCTAGCTGAGTGGGTTACCTGTTTTGTAAATCTTCGGAAGCCCATATATTCTAGGTTGTGAAGCCTCAGATTTGATGAGTTTCTTGATGTTTTCCGGGTCGAACGGTAGTGCTCGGACGAGTTGATTGGTTTTTCGCAATATAGAAGCAGTGGGATTGCTCTGCAGCTTTCTGTGAGGGTTCTAGCAGTTCGGAAAGTTTTAATTCAAAAAAAAAATTTGGACAAAACTCGATTCAAAAGTGGTGCATTAGGACGTAAAATGATCTGTTGAATCCGAGAAACAAAAAATATGAAGGATGCGCCATTTAAAAAGGAAAACTGTACATAGGATTGAATTCATACTTACATGGAAAGGTTGAGGGGGTAGTCAGAAACAGGAAAATACCAGTGGCGTACACTCGATCGACCTACGAATGGAGAACCATACAAAATATACAATACTGTATGAATATTCAAAAACTGTACATAGGAAACTTTATGATTATTCAAAAATTCTCCGGAAAACAAAGACCCTTCCTTTTTGAGAACGAAACAACGAAAATAGCGTAATACAAGCCACGCCCACAACCCTGGATATAAATAACGCAGGATGCAGGTCCAATCCAGTCATCGGAGGAACACGGAAGAGAACACTTCGTCGAAACGTTAGGTCGAAATATTACTCGACCACGGCATTATAGACGGAAAAAACTGTTTTAATTGTTGATGTAAATTATATTTGAAATTCGACTGCATACAGGCTTTTTTTTAAATACATGTTGATTTCCAGGTTCTGATTGGATCGTAATAACACTTTTTCTTCTTGGAAAAATGGCCATTACGTCTTCTTTTGGCGTTGTCTATGTACACACGGCGGAAATGCTGCCGACAATAATTCGGAGCGGAGGCGTTGGGATTGCTTCGACTGTAGCCAGAATTGGAGCTCTTCTGGCTCCATTTGTTCCATTATTGGTAAAAATATTACCAAATAAAGTTACTAGATTTATAATTGAAATTTTAGGGAGTTTATTGGAAACCTCTTCCAATGGTGATGTTTGGAGGTTTGGCCATCATCGCTGGTCTGTTAGCGTTCAAATTGCCAGAAACTTATGGGAAAAAACTACCCGAGACAGTATTAGAAGCGAAAAAGTTGTGATAATCATGAAATAATAAATTTGTTTATTTTTTTATGAATAAAAATTTCTTACAGTTTTTCTAGTCCAATAAAAATGACACTGGACTAAAGGCAGTAAAATAAAAGACATCAATAATACACATATTTTATTAAGAAAAAAAAAATATATTTACAAATACATAATTATAATTAGACACTTTTTATTATAAATGAATCTTCAAACAAGTTACACTGATCTAAAAAATTAATTTATTTGAAAAATATTCAAATACATAGTTATTTAAATTCTCACCTTCTTTCTATAGCAGGCAAAAATTCACTTCGATCGAACGCGTGCCACTTGAACAGCAAGCCAGTGTCGCCCATGTTGGCGTTGTAACCGTAATCGTATTCTGCTCCAGGAGCCTAAAAAAAAGTATTTTCCAAACAACAGAACTCACTCATAAAATAGCATTTACCGCAGCCCTAACTTTATGGAAAGTATCAGCTTCCATAGGGCCAACAATTAATTCCGGCACATCATAATCTGGAATATTGCTGAAAGCCATCAATTTTTCTTTTCTAGTGGCATACCTAAGGTTTAATTAAATTGGATTTTGAAAGTTTTATTTTGTGATTTTATTTTTTACTTGTAGCGAGCTACGCCATAATCCTCTTCCTTATTCATTTCCCAATCTTTCAATTGGGGATCTTGGTAATCATATTTGTTGAAATCGATGGATTCGATGTCCTCGATTACCACTTCCATGTCGCCTTCTAATGACCAATCGTAGACTAATAATTCAGCATGTTTACTAAAAAAAAAAATTTTATTCAAACTATAAAAGTTGATTTTCAGGAATTTCTGATGCTATGATTTTCCATTGGGAAAATCTGAAATTTTAGTATGATGAGCTCTTATAATTATCTACTTTAGTTAGTTAGTTGATATCAATAACAAATTAAAACTGAAAAAACTAGAAATTCTTACGCCATATCTTTCAAATAACTCTGCTTATAATGCCTTTCCATAGTTTCCAAATAAGACTCGGTTAGGGCAGGAGAATTTTTCTCGTAACTTATATTACGTTTCTGGATATTTTCCATCACTTTTGGTACTGGAACATCCAAATAAATCACTAAATGAGGCCTGAGAAGCTCATTTATAGTGTTATCTCTGTACTCGTAGTATTTTTTATAAGCTACAAAAAAAAATATTGATAAAACTACTAATAACTTAAGACACAAATTTAACCTGCTCTGGAAAGAAACTTTCTACTGAACATAGCCTCAGCAAACACGAAATCCGAATAGCAACATCTATCAAGCACGACACCTTGGCCAGTACTGAAAATATGAGCCAAAGCATCAATATACTGAGAAAACCTAACGAGGTATTGTTGAATTTGCATTCTGGCCACCAGTTTATGATTGGGATTCCTCATGTAGTCCATTACATCGAAGCTCCTGCAATCGGGAGGCAATTGCGAATCCAGCTTCCTCAAGTCAAAGCCGTATCTGTTAATGTATTCCATGTCCAAGTTGGCTTCTGGTAAATAAAGCATGCCAAAGGCGTCTGCGATTTCTTTGGCAAATTTCGATTTGCCTGCTGCGAGAGGCCCTTCGACAACAATGAGCTAGAGAAAAAGAATTGTCTGAATTTGCATGGTTCATTGTATAGCGATTACCTTGGTGTTCTCATCAAATCTGGCCGAAGTCTTATCAAACCAATACCTGGTTATATTGAAAATCTTGTTTTTATAATCGAAAGGTTTCGGTTTTGGGGGCAGTTCGTCCAGCTTACTCGTTATGGTCCTCACTGCTTGGATATTGATTTTTGTCAATACCGTTTTGCAGGAATTGGCTGCCGGTATTTTGCTGAAGGAAATTCGCATAATGCTTGCCATTTTCCTGTGTTTAATTCGAAACTAATTCAGGTTTTTGCTGAAAGAGATTTTTACATAACAAATTTCTGACAGCCAGCTGGTAAATTTGAGGTTAGATTTGTGGTCAACAAGTGTAAATAAAGAAGAGGATTGCCACGTTCATGGAATTTGTATGTTGCTAGTAACGTCACCGTAGATGCTTAATAGAATATTCGACGGAAATTTTTCAAAAGTTTTCAAAAATATTACGGTTTTTCTGCATATAAATAAACCATAATTTAATTGATAATTTATGGAAAAATATGAAATAAACTTACAAGGTGGCTTCAATGATTTCTACTCACTTCTGAACCAGCAATTAACCAACGAATTAACTCATTACTTATAAGAGTCGTTTAAGTACGATTCTGATCTGAAAATGAGCGCATTATTGAACTAATGAGTAAAACCAAAGAAGTCTTTAATTTACTCGTTCAAAATAAACTTACTTTTAAGCTTGACAAAAATGTTCATTTTTATAAAGGTACAAAAATAACCTCAGAGGAAATAACTCATTTGGGGTATGTCATTAATGCTACAGAAATAAGTAGGCTATTCATTTGTACTGACAGGTATAGATTTTGAGCTATAACACACTGTTAAAATAACAGGAGAGGATACATCATAGGCCTAAATGCCTCTTAATACAAAGTAGTTACATAGTTTTATTGAACTAGCTTCATATTTTAGGAAATTTGTGCAGAACTTTTCGATCATCGCAGGTCCATTTTACGATTTACTCTAGAGAGATACACAGTTCAACTTTGGCTTAGAGCAAATTCAAAGTTTTCACAGTTTGAAAAATGCATTGGTCAGTTTTAGCCTTTGTATTCGCCAAAAGAAGAAACTCAAGTTTATTGTGATGCTAGTTAAAATGGTTTTGCCGGTATACTTATGTAAAAACAAGCTGAAAACTCCACTCTGTTTTATTTTATAGACAACGGACTACAGAAGTACGATGGGTGGCGATGGAGTCTAATTCTTGAAGACTTTGATTTTCCCTTAGAACATAGAAGTAGTACAAATATGCGACATGTTGATGCATTGAGCGGGTATTTTGAAAATGTTCTAATTTTAGACAAAAATTCTTTAGAGAAAAATCTCAGTATAATAATCATGTACCGGGTGAACGAAGTTATTTACAAGTATACAGGGCGAGGGCGTGTCACAAAAGTGTAGCGATGCAAAGTTATACTTTTTTCAAATAGAACACCCCGTACACTTTTGACCTATTGGATTAGCCTTTCAAACGTGATTCCAAATATACTAGGTTTTTTGGGTTCACTCCTCATAGTCCAGCCTCTGAATATCCCATTTTGAAGAAAAGATATGGATTTTTTATTCGAATGATTACCTTTATATTTTGCTGGTGGTCTATATACTTCCTTTTTCAATAAAAATGCAATTATTCCACCCCTTTTCTTCGTATTTTCGCCTGGACTATTAGGAATAAACCAAAAAAACTACTATACATATTATTAATAATTGCGATTTATCGGAAAAAGGGTTTTTGTGAAAAAATGGAAATTTCCACCCTAGTCTCGGGTACAAATTTTATTGGAAATTAAAGGCAGGATCAATATACATCGTTTAGGGACCCTCACTTGACTTGCAAATTACTTTGAGGATGGTTTAAGGGGGAAGAACTAATAATTGCGATTTATCGAAAAAAGGGTAATTGTGAAAATATGGACATTGCCACCCTAGTTTCGGGTACAAATTTTATTGGAAATTAAAGGCAGGTCCAATATACAGGCTGCCCCAAATTCTAGGGTGACCATTGAGATATCGGAAACTATAAGAGATACGAGGTCGGTTAAATTATGGCAAAGTTGCGCAATTTTATGACCAATAGAATGCTGTTTTGAAATTTGAAAAATTCCGTATACTTCCGAAGATATTCGGAAGGAACCGAAATTTTGCGAAATAATTTTCATTTTTTCTTGAGCCTATTTGAAGAGCAATTTTAAAATAGATGTCACTTCATTGTTGTCACTTTTTCCCCTTTACATGATGTTGCTACCAAATTTCAGATTCGACGTTTCGTTTTTGGGCGGCCATCATCAACTTTATTTTTTTAAATACCGATCCTTATTTATTATTTTCGATTTTATTAGCTTTTGATGTCCCAAAACCTATGACATATCGCATTCACTCGAAAAAATATATTTTTTTAATTTCTAGTAATTTCCCACCAAAATTCTCTTCGCTGTCTCTCTCTAACACATTAAGTTCTTATGGAAAATGCCAGTAATATAAATTTTTCGAATAAGTCCAATACGTCATAGGTTTTGGGACATCAGAGGCTCATAAAATCTTAAATAAAAAATAAGGATACGTATTTGAAAAAATAAAGTTGAGGATAGACGCCCAAAGACGAAACGTCGAATCTGAAATTTGGTAGCAAAATCTTGAAAAGAGGAAATTAGTGACAACGATAAAGACACGTTTATTTTAAAATTGCTCTTCAAATAGACTCAGGAAAAAATAAAAATGATTTTGCAAAACTTCGGTTTTTTCCGAATATCTTCGGAAGTATTTGGAATTTTTCAAATTTCAAAACGGCATTTTATTGGTCATAAAATTGTGCAACTTTGCCATAATTTAACCGACCTCGTATTTCTTATAGCTTCCGATATCTCAATGGTCACCCTCGAATTTGGGACACCCTGTACACCGTTTAGGGAATCTCACTTGACTTGCAAATTATGTACTTTGAGGATGGTTTAAAGGGAGTAAAACAACTAATAATTGCGATTTATTGAAAAAAGGGTTTTTGTGAAAATATGGACATTTCCACCATAGTCTCGGGTACAAATTTTATTGGAAATTAAAGGCAGGACCAATATACACCGTTTAGAGAACCTCACTTGACTTGCAAATTACTTTGAGAATGGTTTAAGGGGGTAGAACTGATATTTATGATTCATTGAAAAAAGAGTTTTTGTGAAAATATGGACATTTTTACCCTAGTCTCGGGTATAAATTTTATTGGAAATTAAAGGCAGGACCAATATACATCGTTTAGGGAGTCTCACTTGACTTGCAAATTACTTTGAGTTTGAGGATGGTTTAAGGGGGTAGAACGAATAATTGCGATTTATCGAAAAAAGGGTTTTTGTGAAAATATGGACATTTCACTATAGAAAACATAATGGTTTACTTTTGTTCTATCTATATACCTGAAGCTATGGAATCAAAAATGTAATACGTACTTGCCATGATGAGTTAGGACATGTAGGTACCGACAAATGTGTTCAAGCAATAATTCTAGAAAATTTTTGGTTCCTGAAATGCGTAACAACGTTAAAATTTTCACAAATGTATAGTTTATTCTCCGGATAAAAAAGGAAGGATATTTGCACAATATACCCAAGGGAGATAAGAATAAACCTTTTAGTATTTTATATTTAGATCATTCAGGACCCTAGAGAAATCTAAGCAAAAAGCTAACAAATATATTTTGGATGTGGTTGACGCATTTTCCAAATTTTTGAAAGTTTACTCTGTAAAACTACCAATTCTGCTGAAGTTATTAAGTAAGTATTTGAATGAATACTTTTCGCACTATAGTAAACCTTACAAAATCATAACAGATAGAGGATCTGCTTTCACAGAATGTTTAGAGTCACAGAATATTCTGCACGGTTTAATAGCTATTGGGGTAGGTACCAAGGGCGAATGGCCTATTAAAATTACGCGTCAATCGAACTCGAACATCCCAATTTTTGGTCACTTTTTGAAAAGCTATAACTCAAAATCTAGCAGGCCGATTTTGTTCAAATTTTCAGTAGTGAAAGGATGCTCTAATTGCTATTTAATTTCCAGTTCTTAACAGATTTCCGGCCACCTGCTAAAAGATACTGGGTGAAACATAAATTGGCGATTTTTGTGCGAAAGTTTGTGACAATCGTCGAATCGCTTGATAAACTTCCGCTAAATTATTATTTGCTATGAATCAAGAGGTTCTGTTAATAATCATTTGAAGTTGTTTTTTTCATCCATTAATGGTAAATCCGGAAATTTAGATGACTTGCGCGAAACAGCTAGCAATAAACTAAAACAAAGTCAAGAATTCAACAAGTCTTGTTATGATCAAAGACACAAGGAAGGCAAACTTTACGAAGTTGGTGATTATGCCATGATCCTCATTATTGACGTTACTTCGGGAGTCAATGAAAAACTCCTATCAAAGTTAATAAAGGACCTATTTGGCCGTTTCCATTAACTATTTTAGGGGAGCCTTAACGATAAGTATTCCCTAAAATGACATTTTTACATGGAGAAATGTCAGTTCAAGGAACACTCGTTGGTAAAAACGGCCACTTATGTCGAAAAAAAGATTTAACCCAATGATAGGTGAGTAGATAGTCAAAGCGGGTCCTAGCATCAAAATCCGACCATAACCTCAATCTTTCATTCTTGACACGTGGTGGATGCGCCGCCGTTGACACGAAGGTGGATGCATCGTCGGCGCCATCTTGTCAAACGTCATGGCGCCATCTAGCGTACATAGTGTGAAGTTCGTAATACAGGATGCTGTAGTTGGGACCCGTAGGACTCCGCCCCCCAAAAAAGGGGGCCCGCAGGGCTCCGCCCCCAAAAAGAGGGGCCCGCAGGGCTGCGCCCCCCAAAATGGGGCCGCGGGATTTTATTATGGGTACCAGAAAAAGGGGTGGGGGGAAATGTTTTCCCGCCATCATGTCAACCGTCACCTGTCAAACGTCATCTGTCAAACGTCACCTGTCAAACGTCATCTGTCAAACGTCATGACGTCATAGCGGGAGTTTTGAGTCGTTCCGGGTTCTGTGATGACGTCATAGCGACCTGGGTCACGTCCGTGGAGTCATTTAGAGTACATAGTGCAAAGTTTGATTCATGGTTCGGGTTCTGTGATGACGTCATAGCGACCTGGGTCACGTCCGTGGCGTCATTTAGAGTACATAGTGCAAAGTTTGATTCAGGGTTCAGGTTCTGTGATGACGTCATAGCGACCTGGGTCACGTTCGTGGCGCCATTTAGAGTACATAGTGCGAAGTTCGTTTCATGGTTCTGTGATGACGTCATAGCGACCTGGGTCACGT